AGACATATGATACGTTCTGTTAGCATCATCTTGAAGAAAGACAGCACTTATATATTATCATTCTAAATGTTTCAGATTTTTCTATGAATGAAATCTTAAAAACGGTTGCTTGTGAATGTATTGGTACAGATAAATCTATTTAATTTTGTAGATGTGAATGTGAACTACTCTTTTATTCTAATACCCAAACCAAATCGTACATGCACAGTCACTACTTGGAAACAAGTCAAATATAGAAAACGTCAAAGACTATCTTAATTACATTGTGTTGATTGCCTTTAATCAATAAACTCATGTTTCTGAGATTCACAGAAAAACCTTTGATAGCTTCATTCTATAAGTTTCAGTGATATATCTTGTCAGAAATCTGACTAAAATATGCAATAAATCATTTTTAATAGTTAATTCTTTCATATATTTCTTTCTTTTTTTTTTGATGTGCGCAATAGCAGTGTAAACAGGAAAATCGGTGAAAATATTTTTACTCATTCTGTTTGACTTACGTTTGATTTCAAATGCTGCTTTTTCGAGTGACATTTTGGTATTTTTGTCTGCCACGCTGGGTAGCTGTTTTATCGGGGAAAAATGACACGAGTGGGTGTGGGTGTGGGTATGTAGGTATGAATAAAGCGGAGTGAACATCCACATCCTGCACCAGAATCCTTAGGAGTTTAAAAATTTCATGCATTTCTATACGATCTACGTGCTCACTACATAATACATTACAGAAGAAAAGTTTATTCAAAATTCAATTACAATTTCGAACTAAAATCAATCGGTGACCTAACCTATTCGAAAATTTTCAGATCTCTAAGGGGTCTGGTGCAGTTCCTCACGAGAAATCTGAATATGTAGTTGGTTTTAAGATCCGAATGGTTAAGTTTGCAAAGTAACACAATATAACACATTTTCGGTATATCTCTGTTCAGGAGACCTGGAAAACCAAATTCATGTAAGGCGTTTAATAACTCACTGAGGTCTATTGTTTGGGCATATATTCAATCCAAAAGCGATTTGACACCTGCGTATGTTCCCTCGTGAACACTTTTGATTTTTAAAAAATAGCAAGAAGATATACTGCTAAAAATCAGAAGTTAAAAACTGCTAAGGTGAGACGTTTTTCATTCATGTTAGTCCAGTAAATAGATGATATGCAATTTTTTTAATAGCTTATTTTTCTCAGTTTTTCATGCACTATCTTTTGATATATTGGATGAAAAAAATTCTTTGACTTATTAAAGTGTAATATCAGTGGACATTTATTAAAATATTTTGACTTTCTCCTTAACAGTGGGCTGTCAGCACTAAAAAGTCGGTAAAGACTAACTCCTCCATAGAACATCCAAATGAGCTAAAAATTTAGGTTTGATGGTTTTAGATGATAATCTTTCAAATGTATATAAAAAGACGAATTTTTACTAATCAAGTGCTTCGTATATTAGAATCATGCTTGATGTTCGGATGGACACTCTCTTAAAAGAGGCAATTCCTACCTATTGAATTGCTGATGTGCTCCCCATGCAAATACTCTATTTTATTCTCCGATAGCCAACTGAAGCTAGTAAAGACATATTAAATACTATTTGAAGAACTGATTAGACATGTGACACGTTTTTTTCGTCGTTGGCGAATTGATCCATTGTGATAATTGCGTCACTATTAAACATAAGACTCTGAAAATTCGGTGTCAACAATTATCTCTTTAATCATTTCACTATCGAGCCAACACTTTTTTCACTTCATTCCGAGGTAATTGCTATTTTCGTTTTCTCATTATTGAGCAATCTTCGTACAACATTATCTCGTACACCATTTCCACATCTATTCGATACATCTACTGACTGACTACTTGAATTACTATCGAATAAGTCTGATACATGCTCTTTCTTTCTACTGCCTATATGAAAAAGCCTTATTCAGTTATCAGTTATAAATGTAAACTTCAAGATGAGAAAACATATGAAAAGATTTGAGATCCTTGATTGCGCAAGATTGAACGCGACACTTGAATCATAGTTCTTAAGCATAAACGTTAGATTATTATAATTCGTTCAGATCTGGATGTTTTTCTCTTTTTTTTCTCTTTTGTGAATCTTCATAAGAGCTAATGTTATATGAAATTCCTTATAGAATGTAAATTTAATGATGCCAAAAGTAATAACAGGTCTTCTATATATAAGCAAAAGCCCATGATGAACATTTCTATGGTGTTTGGTAGTCGTATACTCTGCTCTATGAGTTTTCCAATTTCTGTTTTGATACGGAAACAAACTGTAATCTATTTGAAAATAGCTTACAACGAAAGTAGCTTAATATGACAATTAAAGATGAGCTATAGCCCATTCTGAAATTAGGTCATTGGCCTGTTTGTATGCTTTCATAGCGACGGGATTGTCTGGATTCGGCCGAGACGCGAAACCATGGACCGTTCCATCAGTTAAGAGAAACTTGCTAGGTATTTCGGACTTGTGACCAAGAATCTGTTCCATCTCTACACGGAAAGCGACCGAAAATAGGTGGTCTTCTTGTGCACAAGCAAAGGCTGCGGGCACTTGGAGTTGTTCAAACTGAGCTTTAGTAGTCGTTGAGGGGTGACAGGCGACAATAGCATCTGCAAGATGAAGTTGGCCGCCGCCGATCAGCATTGCATAAAAGCCACCGAAGCCATAACCGACGGCCTCTACTCTAGTTACTCCTTTTTCTGATCGAAGAGCCTGTTGCAAATGTTTCTTAAATAGAAGGGAAAAATATCATAATCACATACCTTAAAGAACTTTTCCACAATGGGAAGAGTAACAGCTTGACGATGACGAAACATCCATGGCCCGAGTGATGTCACGAATTTTCCGACAAACCTAAGCTGCATTACAGAAAGAAGTGTACTCTTCGAGAAACCTAGCATCTGCAACTCACCTTAGCACCAATGGACCTTGCTTCGTTGGGTGCTTCAGGCATACCCTCTAGAACTGAAGTGGGAACTGGATCGCCATTGAAGAGATCTGGTACATAGACATCGAAACCACTTTTTTCTGACACTTCATCAGCAGTCATGCGCGGATTCTTTGTTAGACCTGTTCAAATGTCCGAAGTGCAATAATGATTAAAAGATAGATGAGAAGGACTTACCGAATATATCGGTTAACAGGACAATTGCCTTTCCTTTCGACGTTTCATTCTTCCCCAATATATGATACGTATCGATTCCGGCGATCTTGATGATTTGTCCGCTTGGAGTACCAGGCAATGGACGATACTCAGTAAGACAGCACGCATCTAATTTCCTGTCGGTAGTTCCAGAAGCCATTGAATGCTCCGTTTTTCTACAAAGACTGTTATATCGGTTTACTTGCTGTATCTTCTGCTTTGTGCATGAAGCGAGTGAAGCAAGTAATCTCGCTGTCGTATTGTGTGCGAGAATAACCTTCCTTCCATCATCACTACGACGCAGAAAGATAAAATAAAAAGACAGAAAAAATGCGGCATATATGTGTGCAAAAAGTGTGCTCTCGTTCTAAAGTAATTATTTATACTTATACCTGTAGTCTGCTCTATTTTTCGAAAAAAAAATTAGTAAGTGGCATTTTTTCGAAGGTGAAACATAAGAATGCGTTAAAAATACAGCACAGTGATGCCCAAATACGTTAAAGTGCAAACATGTATCGATAAATACATGTCAGCCGTTAAAAGTACTTTCTACGATACTTCTTCAGCATATACACGTTCCCACCAATTAACGGATAATAACAATTAGCCGAAAAGGGTGTGGGTGTGTGGGTATGGATAAAGCGGAGTGAACACCCACACCCTCGCTTTGTTTCAACGATTTAACTAATCAGTTTCTTCTCTATTTTATCTTCTGTTGAACAGTAGTGTTAATTGCACCTTTCCGCATAGACACTCAGCACACTTGGTCTCTCCTGGCATTGAATCGGAGACAGCGAAGCACAACATCTAGCTGCTGTATTGCAACATAATACAGTAATCTTCGCTTTCTTGCGTGTGGGGTGTGAGTGTGGGTGGGTGTTATATCACTCTATTGGCATCCACACACACTCCCATACCCATAAAAGATCAGAGTTTGAAAATTCTTTCGCATATGAACATAGGACATTCCTTATATCAAGTTATAGGCAAACCTGATAGCGCATTGACTCGATACTGAATTATTTTAATTCTGAAGTATAGTGTTCCCCAGAATGTAATGAAACTTTTCGAAAGTGTGTTAAAGACACATACCCATGTTTTTGTAAAAAACAGCATGCAACGGATTAACTTCTTATAGATATGTTATTATTGCATGTAGTAGAGTGTACATGTCTGTTCGGGCGCGAGAGCAAATAGGAATGAGCATCCACATCCCAATCAGGCGCTTACACACCTACATCCTCACCCCCGTGAACAATTCTAATAACTTCACGTCATGCACAAATGAGCATCGGCACCTGTAGTTCATTTGAAATGTACTAGATTGGAAATAATATTTTGATAGGGGGGTACCGCTATAATTTCAAATAGACGACATAATGAATTTTATATCAAATGAAAGCTCGTCAAAAATGGGATTTATTGATACTAAATAGTAAGGATTATGAACACTTTTTAATATCGAACTTAAGTAACTTTCAGAAATTTTATACTTTTTTTGCGGTGGAAAAGTAAAGTGCCCGTAATTGAAAAATGGATTCAAACGTTTTTTCTTGAATATTTTTACACGGCTCGATAGAGCTCATCGAGCTCTACAAAACTGTATGTACTAAAAAAATTTCAAACAGAGTTGTTGGGTTAAAATTCACTGAAAACTGTCTAAAGAATGTAGCGAAAAACCCTCATTTTTTATATTTTTTATAGGAAAACAAGTGGTATTTTTTACACTAAATTCAGCTGTTTTCCATTAGTATTCTTATGTAAAATGTTTGAAAATATACTCATTCGATGCAGCGTGAAAAACTGCATCGAATGAATATATTTCGAAACATCTGAGGAAATAAAAATAATCAGAGAAAAGGAAATTTTATTGAAAATTCGAGTGTGGGTGTGGGCTGTGGGTGTCGGTGTGTGGGTGTGGAAGATGGTGTAGTTTTTCTCTTAGTCAAAGCCCACACGCACACTCACACCACACCCACACCCACCCACGTCCATCTGGATCTGGGTGAGCATGGATATATTTGTAGGTATAGATCTTTCCTATAATAACACTCATACGCACACCCACACCTACACCCAAACTGTCTTCTCCAATATGCTCTTGATGAAATCTAGAAAGGTACGAATCACAGATACAAATTTTGAAACAAAGGTCAATACATGATTTCATCCTCAGCATCAGATGAGAAGCATTTTATGTTGGAAGTCACTAGTACCATGATTTTTATTAAGAAAGACAATTGAATTGAATATTATTCTTATATAAAAAGGTGACAA